AGCGGCTCCGAGTGCAGCAGGAGGCAGGGAGAGTAGAACCTCCCCGCCCCAGGGGAGCCAAGTGGGGACGTGAGGAGAACAGCCTTCCTCCCAAACCCTCGCCCCAGCAATAGAAGGACAACAGGAGACGTGGTCCAGGAGGGGTTCCTACAAAATACCCGACCATCAAGACTGCCAAGGGCAACAGACAAGGGAAGTCTGAGAGACGCCACGGCCAAGAGTCGTCAAGGAGACGTACCCCGCGGTACCTGGAGGGGACCCTGGGACAGAAGGACACGGGAAGAGCGAGGGAACTGAGTGAAGTGTGGGCTCTGGGGACTGACTGCTTCAATACCGGTGCGCTGTGAGCAGCGAGCCACAGGGACCGGGGCGTGGGGGTGCCTGGGGGCCCCCGGGACTCTCCCAGATCTCCACAACTTCTCTGTACACACAATATTGTAAGACGAAAACCTGATTTGGAGTAGTTTCTGCCCTGGGGCTCCGAGCCCCCTCCCTGTCTTGTCCCCCTGCCTGGCACACATTTGTGTGTCTGGAGCCTGCAAGCATGGAGCAGGAACTTCAGCTGGTGACCTGTCCAGGACCCTTGGGGCGCAGGGAGGACCCCAACACAGACATGGTGCAGGAGAGGTGCAGGCTGACCCCATGGCTGTCCAGTGCTGCTGGAAGAGGTGGCTCGCCAGGGCTCGGCAGGGCCGGTGGGAGGGGAGGCCGTGCTGGCTTTTGCAGGGACCTTTGTTCAGAGGAATCTCACCCACAGCCATGTCAGAGCAACTGTGGGTGGGGGCCACTCAGGTGGGATCCAGGACGAGGTCTGCAGGTCAGGGTCTGGGAGGAGAAGGCCTAGGAGCAGTCAGCAAAGGGTGTAGAGTTGGGGGCGGGACAGGTGACGGCCTGGGGCCAGGCACACATGGGGGCTCTCCATGACCGGGGTGGGGGGTGGGGGGTGTGGGGGGTGTGTGTGCTGGGTCATCCCCGCCCAGAACCGCCCAGGGAGGCAACTGACTGGGAGGAGGGTGGTGGGCAGACACCGTGGGCTCCAGCGGGCGCCAGGATGGGCCATCCTGGGGTGAGCTGGGCCCACCACACCCGGTCCTGGCACTGGCAGAGGGGCCTCTGCAGGGCTGGGCAGCCATGCTCTCCCCCTTCAAGTCCCTCTCACCCCTGGGTCAGAACAAAGGTCCTGGGGGTCAGGGGCTGAGAGCCAGGGACGGTCCAGCGCCTCCTCCCACAACACAGCCAGGCCAGGGCCTGCCCAGCCATTTCCTTCCCATCCTGGCCCTGCTTCCTCCCACGTGCCCCCTCTTGCCAGCGGGCTTCCTCTGGCTGAGGGGGGCTGCCCAGTGGGCCCCCCAGAGTGCTCAGCTCACCCAGCGGGCCTGGGGGACCCTTCCTCAGGAAGCTTTGGGCAGCCTCTCCCCTCCTCGAGGACACAGGGACGCCCGCAGGCACCTGGCACTGGGTGGCCCCCCCATCCACACATGAGCACCCAGGAGTCAAGGCTGGCTCAGCCCTGGGAGGCTGGGGCCTCAGCTCAGAGCTGGCACCTGCCCCTGCACCCCACCCAGCCAAGGTCCTCTCACCCAGGGCTCCTCCCTCCCGCCAAGGGGCTGTGTAGGGGACAGTTCTCACTCAGAGGGTGGGGTCGCAGCACTTGCCCATGCCCAGAGACACGCCATTTCTTCACCCACCACGGCCCAGGCCCAGAGACCAAGGCCACGGTCTCTTCTTCGTCAGCTGGTTCTATGGGGTTCTGCCCTTCATGTCCCTCCACATCCCCATGTCCCTGAGACCGAGGCCACGGCCTCTTCTTTGTCGGCTGGTTCTATGGGGTTTTGTCCTCCACGGGCTCTGGACCCCATGCTGCATGCCCCAGTTGTGTTCTGCCTGGACCCCCTGGTCCAGTGGGGGTGTGCACTCCGGCCACCCAGGACCCTCACCCCAGCCTGGGGACCCTCTGCCCCACAGCCCCAGAGTACACGACGGCCTCCCACTCAGGGTGGACACCGGCCAGCCTCCAACCGCCAGCCTCCAACCGCCAGCCTCCAGGCCCCATCCCCAGGCTCCCCCAGACCCTCCCCATGTAGGCAGCCCATGCAGGGTCCTAACATTTCTAGGTGGGGTCCCAGGGAGCCCTCGCTCTCAGAACAGCCGCCATCCTCACAGGCTCCTTGGGGCCTTCCTGATCTTCTCCACCCACCCCAGAGTGGCCTGTCCACGCCTAGACTCCCTCCCTCTCACACTCATGTGCACGCACACACGCGTTCCCTTCCTCCCTCCTGGGACCCTGCAGGGCCTCCCTCTGGGAAGCTCCCTCGGGGCCTCCTGGGTGAGCAGCCCCGGCCCACGACTGCTCAGCAAACTCGGGGATGAAGGGACCTGAGCGCTGCGGCCCAGCTCTGGGGAGGGTGGGGTGAACCCAGGGTGGGCAGCCCCCCTCCCGGTCCCAGAAGTGCAGATGGATGGACGGGCAAGTGCGTCCCTCTGTGGCCATGGTGGCTTTGGGCTGCATGCCCAGGGGACTCGAGGGGGCGGAGAACCTGGTGAAGATCCAGGGGCCCCTCTGTGCTGCGCCCCAGCCCGGAACCCAGGAAGTGAGGGGTGGTCCCACCCGGGGTGGGGGATGGGGGGGTGGAGAGGATGGTAGGCCGGGCCTGGGGGGCTGGATCCTGGGGCACAGCCTGGACAGTTCCTGCAGCTGGGCCTGGGGGCGGGGACTGGACTGGGGGTGGGGGAAGCGAGGGGCGAGGCCACACCAGGACCCACCCGGGCTCCGTGCCCTCCAGGACCTCCACAGGCGCTGCCCCCCCAACCCGATTTCTCCTAGATCCCCATCACTGACGCTGCCAAGACTGCCCTCAGCAAAGCCGCTGTGGCTGGCCCTCCCTGTGTTTCTCAGCGCGTGGCACAGCGTCACGCCCCCTTCTCTGTCGCGGCCCCGGGACCCCCTGCCGTGCCCCCCTACTCCCCCACAGCACCGCGGGCATGGACAGGCACCTGCCCCCCCCATGCCGGGACCCGGCCACCACTGGAGCCCTGCCCCTTCTACTCCCCACCTGTGCCCGGCCACTGCCAGCAACCCCCTCCCAGACCCTTCACTCACGGCTGTGGCACATTGGGGGCCCCTCCCGGAGAACAAGGGCTTGCTCTGCTCTGCTGACTTCTGGGGTCCAGGCCTGACGACCGAGATCCTAGCTGTCGCCCGTGAGCGTTTAAGGAAATGAAGCCCAGGACATGCTGTGGCCAGCCGGGCCGGTTCAGGAGCGTTGTGGATGGTGGGCAGGTGTGCCCACCCAGGCCGTTGGCCCACGCGAAGGAAGTGGGGCTCCCCAGCCTCTCCACAGGCCTGAACAGCCCAAGGCCCCAGCCTCTGGACACACTGCAGCTGCCTAGCTGGCGTGGGCTGGGCGGTCCCACATGGCCTGAGGGGCCCCAGCTGCTGGGGGAGGTGCTGGGCAGACCCCCCTTCCCCCGCTCACCACTAGCCTGAGCAGCCCCTGTGGCTGGGGGGCCCAGACTTCTGCCTCCTTCTCCTCCCTCGGGTCTTGTCGCCCCAAAACACCCAGCCGTCAGGCCCTGTCCACAAGGACGGTGGGCTTGAGATGCACAGACCGCCAGAACGGAGGGTGGCCTGGCCAGGCCCAGCACCTGTCATCTGCCAGGGTCGGCCATATCAGGCGAGGCGAGCCTGGACAGCTGGGAGCCCAGGCCCGGAGAGGGGAGGGTGGACGCTCGGCCCCAAAGGGCCCTGCCCCTGGGTCCCCACAGGGCACTCTACCTTTTCCAGGCCAGGAAATGCGAGTCTCTGAGCCCTTACACCTGCCGGCTGGACAGTGGCCCTCCCGAGGGTGTGCGCACAGCTGAGTCCAGGGCCTGACCCTGGGCCACCTCTCACCACCAAGCACAATGTGGGGGGAGGGCCTTCAAGGGCTCCATTGTTCCCCTGAGGCTCGGGGTCTGAATCCCTGATTGTCCCTGGCGCTGGACAGGGCCCAGAGAGGGAAGGTGCCTCCCCCGGGCCGCACAGCAGGTCAGAGGCAGCTGGGCCCTACCTCACCTGCACTTGGGCCGGGTGTGTGTGTGTGTAGGGTTGCCCAGCACCCCTCTGCCACCGTCCCGCATCCAGGCCTAGCTCCAGCTTAGCCTCCCTGGTGCATCTGGACTATCGGACAGAGCCCAGCTGCCCCAACTATTTCCGCCCGGGCCGCCTGCTTCCTGTCTGCACCCACCGTCCTGGAGTTCCAGAGCAGGACGCAGACCAGGGCTGGGCAGACGTCCCCTGCCTCCCTGCCCACCACTCCACAGCCCACCCATCTGGCCCCGGACAGCGGCTTCAGAAAGGCACAAAAGGAGGCAGGAGGCAGAGGAGCAGGCTGGGCTCCCAGCACATAGGGCACCTCAGTCTAGGCCCAGGGCCATCCTGCGAGCCCAGGAATGCGAGCCCCCTGGGCACCGCATGCCACTGGGATGCCTGCAGGAAGGATGGGTGGCTGCGTGGAACCCTAGAGGCGCCTCCTTAGGGACCCCCACAACCTCCCAACCCAGGGCCACAGCCCCATCCTCTCTGACTCGAGGCCCCCAGGTGTCCTCCCCGGGCTGGCCCTTCCTGGAGCAGCGGGGTGGGGCCATGCATATGGCCGAGCAGAGTGCCCACTCTCTGAAGTCTTAGTCCCCTCCCAGGCCAGCTCAAGGACCAGGATGGGGGCAGCCACGCAGGACACGGCCCCAGACCTCTCTCCCCCAGCTGCAGGGCACCTCAGTGAGACAGTGGGGGCAGAGGCCTGGCAGCCCCACCTGCTCCCTGTGCCCACCTGGGCCTCAGGGCAGGAAGCAGCCCAGCCCTGGGGGAACGACCCTGTGACCAGGCAGGGCAGCCCCCACTGCTCTCCCTGACATGAAGCTGGGGGCTGGCCGATGAGGAGTGGGGCTGTCAGGACCAGGGGTCTGGTGTGGAGGAGTCCCCCGCGGCGCCCCCACCCAGCACCACAATCCAGGGGCTCACGGACACTCCAACCAGCAGCTCTTTATTAGGACATCAGCCCAGGCCCCACAGGAGGGGGACTGGGCCGGGGGCAGGACAGGGGAAGCTAGGGTCCTCCAACCGCAGCAAGGGAGCGAATTTGATGGGCAGCACCCCCGCCCCAGGCGCCAGCTGATGCAAGCAGAGCACCACCTGGGAACCCTGGCCTGCCAGGGGGTGGGCGCCAGATCCCAGGCCCGCCCGGGAGCACACAGCCGGGAATTTCGCCTCTTCAGGAGCGGCCAGTCCCTTGGGCCTTCTTGATTTCCTGCCGGGAGAAATGATGGTCTGTCCGGGCCTGGGGCCACCATGTCCCATTCCAGCCTGCTCCTCCAAGTGGGTGCAGACAGTCTGAGCCCCCGGGGAGCCCACCTCAGAGAGTGCCTCCCTCAGGGCCCGGTAGGCCTCGTCCAGGCTGTTGTTGACGATGACCAAGTCAAAGAGGCCGGGCTCCTTGCCTGGGGGTGGAGGCAGGGTCACTGGAGGCTTGGGTGACAGGGCCTGGGGACCCTCCACAGGGACCCGCCCTGCCCTCCCTCTCCCATGGCGGGGGGACCCATGGGATGTGGGGGAGGAGGGCCCGGGACCCCGGCGTGTGCTCACTGCTCTCCATGTCGGCGCGGGCGGCAGCCAGCCGTTTGGCCAGGCTCTCCTCTGTCTCAGTGTCCCTCTGCCGCAGCCGCTGCTCCTGAGCCACAGGATGGGGGTCAGAGCCTGCCCCCCCGCCCCCCCTCCAGCCCCCACGCCCCGGCCCCCACCAGGACTTCCAGCGACGGCGGCTGCACAGAGATGTAGATGGGCCACAGGTCTGTCTTCTTGATGTTGCGCACACCCTGCAGGTCCACGTCCAGCACACAGATGCGGTTCGTGGCCTGCACGGCCCGCACGGCTGCTTTGCTGGGGGATGGCACGAGGGGGCTTCTCAGTGGGGGCTCCTTGGGCCTTCATGGCCTCAAAAAGCCTCAGCAGAACCGTCACTGTTCCTGGGGTCCTGCCTCCCCAGCCCCTTGCTCTGGGCCCGGCTGGGGGTGCCTGCAGGGGACCATGCTGGCCCCAGCATCTGCTGCCCCTTTCCGAAAGCACTCCCCAAGTGACCGTGAACGTGGAGCCCCCTGCTGGGTGGGGGGCACTGGCGAGGAAGAGCAGGAGGGCCTGGCTGTCCCTGTGCAGCCCAGGGCTCCTGGGCACCCATCGACTAAGGGGAGCAGAAGCCCCACTGACGGCCTTCGGGGGCCCACCACCCTTCCCAGTTGCAACCGGGCAGACCACGATGGGTCCCGTGGGGTCCCTGCCTGGACCCTGCCGGCGGCTCAAGGACAGGCTGCACACAGAGGCGTGCCCAGGCCCGTCTGTGCTGGGCACCACTCTGGGCCTCACAGCCAGGTGGGGCAGCTGGCAAAGGCCCGGCTCTGGGGGAGGGCTGCAGTGTGGCCTGCAGACCCGCAAGGCCCAGGTCCCTGAGTCCTCACTCCACACCAGGCGGGCAGAGAAGCCCTGTCCAGGACCCAGGCATGGGGAGACCTGGGCCTCTGACTCCAGGTCCCCGGGAGGCCTGGAGGGAGGAGGACTGGGGCGCGGCCCACCTGGTCCCATACAGGTTTCCTGAGAACTCAGCATGCTCGATGAAGTCGCCCGCAGCAATGTCCCGCTGCATCACCTCCCTGGTCACGAAGTGGTAATCTACAAAGAAGGAAGACGTAAGAGCTATTCGAGGTTGTCCACAGCCAGGCCACCACCACCAGAGACCACCGGCTTCCACAGGGGTGTCGGGGGGCCTGGAAACCACTGGCTTCCACGGGGCGGGTCGGGGGGACTTCCGTGCTATGTGTCAGGCAGGAACAAAAGCCCCACTGAGACTAGAGAAGATGCTGGTGATGAAAGAGCCCCAAACCACGCATGGCTATGGTTCCAACCACGCGACCTTGCGCAGGGCGGCGCACACGTGAGGAAGAGCGCCTGCGGCCTCCTCGAGCGGTATCAGTGACCCTGCCTGGCCTCTCACGTGGACACGGGCACCAACACATGCTTTGACGCCTATCACCTGATGAAGCCCCCCACCCTGGCGGAGGGGCCCATCCATCAGTGGGGGAGACTGAGGCCTCGAACACCCCACTGCTGACAGGTGGGGCGGCTCCGGGCCTGTGCAGGGCACTGGGGCCGCCGGGCGAGCTCACCTTTGCCGTTCTCCTCTCCCGGCCGCGGGTCCCTCGTGGTGTCTAGGAACAAGCACCCGTGACCCACATGAGACACCGGGAGCCCCACGCAACCCATCCCCAGGCCCTCCCCGTCAGGCCTGGCTCAGCCCGGGTAAGAGTCAGCAGAGGGGCTCCTGGCCCCCGTGTGGGGTGTGAGGGCCTCCAGGGCGGGTCAGCAGAGTGGCCCGGCCCCCACCCCCAGCACCCCTGAGACCCTCCAGGGCCCTGCTCCCCACCCCCGGGGCCTCACGGGACACGCTGAAGCCAAAGATGCTGCCGTGCTCCTGCAGGAGCCTCTTCAGCAGGGTGCTCTTCCCGGCCCCCGACGGTCCGCTCAGGACCACGGGCCTCGGTCCCGACATCCCTGTGGATGAGAGGAACAGGCATCAGCGGGCTGGAGAAACCCGCTCCCTGTGGGGGTGGGGCCTGCACCCACCCCTACCCCCACAGACACACCCCGGGAGCTGGGCAGAGCTGGGGGCAGTCAACTCAGAGCTGTGCTCAAGCCCTGGCTGCGCCTCCCTCGGGGCACGCTATCTGCTCACACACGCGCCAACCGCCACTGACCGTGCCCACTGTCCACTTCCACTCCACCCTGTGGGGAGGCCCTGGGAGGAGCATGTCCAGGTCCCCATCCTGTGTCTCCTGGCACCACGCCCCAGAGGCAGTCTTGGACAAGGTCAGAGGAACCCAAACCCTGTTCTGGGAACTTCCATGAGGAAGCAGGCGGTCGACCTTGAGGGGCCACAGCTTCCTGACCCCTCTCTGATACTTGGGCCCTGGGAAGCCAGCAGGAGGGCAGCGGGGACCGCCCCCCTGCCCAGAACACAGGGCCCAGATGCCTGCCCGGAGATGACACCGAGGTTGGGGGAGCCGGGGAGCTCGGGGGCATCCGCTTTGCGCCCGCCCGACCACTCCCAGCGCTCCACACATGGGACCCACCTCTGTGGTCAGCTCAGAGCTGCTCTGGATGAGCTGGGGTGGGTGGTAATCCCTGCCTGCTCTTGCCTGTGAGCACTAAATCCTCCGGGGCGGCCAGCCCCACCCACTCAGCGTCCCCGCTTGAGACCCAGCCACACGAGCAGATGGCCGAGGAAGGCCAAGTGCAGACTCTGGGGCCGGGTGCCGTGAGCCTCAGCAAGTGGGAATCGAGACGGACGCTGTGCTGGGGGGCACCCTGTCCCAGAGGAAGAGCTCGGGAGAGCGTATGGTGAGCTGGAGTGGCTCCCAGGCCAGTCAGGTCCTACAGGGCTGTCTGGGGCTGCCTGATATGGTGAGGAGGCCTTGAAGGTGCAGTCGGCAGCCAGCAGACCGGCAGTGAAGCCCAGGAGGGATGCCCACACCCCCGGCCCGGGGCAGCTCTCCAGCAGGGCCCCCAGCAGGCACGCTTTCCTAATCCTCAATGTAGGCCAACCTGGATAATCTCGCTAAAGCACCGCTATTCTGGGGCCATCACGCCACACACACACACCCCAGGAACAGATGTCGCACCCTGCTGAAGAGACCAGGAGGAAGGGCCCCAGAGGGATCCAACTCTTGTGACCTCCACGTGGCCGACTCTGAGCTCCCTTGCCTGCCTCTCCCACCCTTCCCGTCACCAGAGCACGTGGTCTGAACCCAGCCACCGTCCTGGGCACCCACCTGCACTCTGGTGTCCCGGCTTCCCCCCTAGACACACGGACATGCACACAGCACACACGCCCCATGCGCTGGTGCATGCACCACACGTACACGTATGCACATACATGCGTGCACGCACCTGCATACACCTGCACCCAGCCCCAAGCCCACGGCCAGTGCCTGCCAGCAGAGCGCAGCCCCTCCCTCCCCGAGGCCCTGTCTCTCCCGTGCTGTCGCCCTTCCTGAATCCTCTTCTCTCGCGGGACTGAAGTCTGCGGGACCCTGCCCACTCCCCTCAGTCTGTCCTGACTGCCCAGGTGCCGAGTGACCGGGGACGGGGAGAGCTGCGTGAGGTGGAGAAAAGGACGCAGAAGGGCAGAGGACAGGCTGTGGGCCACCAGGTCCCCAAGCAAGGCTGCTGTTCCTAGAGGGCCCCTGCAAAGAGAAAGGCTGAGGACACAGGCGTCCGCCCACCACCAGATGGTGCCAAGTCACCAAGGCACATGCATCCCTCCCCGCCCAACGTGCGAGGCACCTAGATCCCCCAGGCCCCGGCAGTGTGCTGGCACTGCAGGAACGTGAGCTCCTCCAGGGCAGGCACGGCCCCGAGTGGACACAGGGAGATGGACCAGGAGGCCTGCCTGGGCCTTGCTCATGGAGCACACCCTCAACCCAGTGGGTGCAGGTGAGGCCCCTGAACCCAATTGGGGTGTCCACCTCTAGAGAGGAGAAGATCCGAAGGGATCCCCATCAGGGACCACAGGGGGAGGCACCTCTGCCAAGGACATCCCTGCTGGGGCCTGTGCAGAAGCCCCTCAGGAATGCTCTGCTCCTTCTCCGTGTGCTTGCTGCTGGTGGGCACCCCTCCCTGGCACCCCCACACCGCAATGAGCACCATGCAGCCCTCAACTGTAAATGCACCAGAAGGACCGAGCGCTCCTTTCCCAAGACTACCCCCAGGCCAGCACAAGTTGGCCCCAACATGCTTCCCTGGTGGTCCTTGCCCGGTCCCCCCACTGCAGGCTTGGCCAGACCTCCTCGCTGCAGCTCTGATGAGAATGCACACCTACGCAGGGAAGACACGCCTTTGCTTGGGACCAAACGCCACACGGGAGTCCCAGCACCTGACGGTATCAGAGGGCGTGCAGCGCGGGTCCCACTCGTAACCCTGCGTTTCAGCGCTGGTTTCCATCCCACCCCCACCTGCACCGGCTGCAGGGAGGAGCAGGTGTGCACGCACGGGATCAGCTGATGGCCCAGCACCCCCCAGCCTGCTTCCACGGGGTGTCCCGCTGGGCCCCGACCTGTCACTTGAGCCCAGGCCCCAGGCCTCCTCAGTGCTAGCCCCCGCTCAAGAACTACATCAGGGCTGACGTGAGGTGGGGACACCTGCCCAGCAGTGCTGTCTCACAGGGGTGGGGCCCAGTCGGCTTGGACCCCACCAAAGGCGTCTGCGCCGAGTCCTGCCCCAATGCGGACCTCGAGCGGAGTTCCCTCTCTGAGGTTGGCGCGCCCTAGCACAAGGGCCCGCACCACACAGCCCACACCGGGGCGGCCTGGCCCCATGGAAGGCACCTGGGGAGCCGCTGGGGACAGGGCTCTGGCCAGCGACCACGGAGACACAGCACGCACTAAAGCCACCTTCGACAGCACTCTTAGTATGTGACAGAGTTCTGGGCCTCGTGGCCCCAGTGATCCTCGAGTGTGCTGGACACTGCTGAGCTTGGCCTCAGCACCTAGCAGAACTGACCTGAACGTGCATGTCAGAATGGGCATTCAGCCAGGAACCTCCTGTATCCTCTACTCCTTAACTATTCCACGATCCCAAACCCCAGCTGCCTGACAAGAAATTGGAAAGCTCCCAGAGACTGCAGTAAGGATCGGGGATGCAGACCCTTTCCGTAGGAGTTGCCGGGGTGAGCCCACTTGTTCCAGAACGCTCTCTGCTGGAACCCCTGACAAGGAGCTCCCCATGCAGTTCTGCGGGTGGAATCTCTTCCTTCCAGCTTCCACCTACTGTCCTACCCTGTCCTGAAAGCCAGGCGCTGCCACCACCCTCAACTCTGTACCCATTCCTCCACCAGACAGCAAGACAAGGCGCAGCCGCTGAGGACACATGAGGAGGAGGCAAGTCCCGCCAGCCTCCTGTACAGCACGAACCACAAGCCACGGGCAGACCTGGGCCAGGATGGCCAGTTGTGCCCCACCCCCAACAGGCCAGGTGGGGCAGGAGGAACACACTGGCCCTGGTCACAGGGCTCAGTGTGTGGGACACGTCCTGGCCAAGTGACCCTGAGAAACCATTTAGCCTTGGGAGCCTGGCTTGACGTGGGACAGCCAAAAAGAAGCCAGCAATTCCCTTCTCACTTCCTCTCCCCCCACTGGGGCAGGGACCCGGCCGTCCTCGAGAGGAAGCAGGGCCTCCAGAGCACGGCACGAAGCCACACCGTGGAGAACTCAGGCCTGCCCCGGTGCTGCATGGCTCTGTCTGCATCTTTCCCGTCACGGAGGACTGGGAGTCAGTCTTGTGGGAGACCCTCTGATCCAACCCCATGGGAGAGGGCAGAGAGCATGAGAAGAAGGGGGCCCAGGCAGGAGAGCCACAGGGTAGGAAGGAGTCCAGACCCCTAACGATGGTCAGCCTCACTGCCACAGAAAAGAGAAACCGAGGCCCGGCACACAGAGACGAGGGAGGGACTCGGGGGAAACCGAGGCCCGGCACAGGCAGGGACCAGGGAGGGACTCGGGGGGCGGGGGGGGGACCAAGGCCCGGCACAGGCAGGGACCAGGGAGGGACTCAGGGGAAAACTGAGGCCTGGCACAGGCAGGGACCTGGAGCCCCACTGCAGTGGCGCTGCTCCTCGCCAGTGCCGCCAGTGGCTCACCCTCATTGCTCTCCCTTTCCTCCTCCAGGGCTGGAGTCGCCTCCTTCCACCGTTAACTACATCACAAGCCCCCTTCCTTTCTGATTTACCTCACATCGTCTCAACACGTTTCTGGGTTACCCCTGAAGGTACCACAAATGACAAAGGTTAACACTTCATGCGTTAAAAAACACAAAAAAGAGTTTGGGTGTGGCTGAAGAGAAACCATGTGTCCCGTAAGAAGCCCAGAATCGGCTGCTCCAGGAAGCTGCTCATCCCACCAGTCACACCAAAGATCAAGGGCGAAGTCCATACAAACCTGGAACTAAAGGAACGCCCAGGCAAACTGCACCTCTCACAAGTGTGGCACTGACCTGGGTCGTGAGTGGGCGTGTGTGTTCAGGCAGGTGCGTGGAGTTCTTACCAGCAGGGACAGAGTGGGGGCTCAGCTGGCAGGAAATGCCGCTTGTCAGTGGTCAGACAGGAAACCACACCCATCCCGGATCACCCCCAGGGATGGAGAAAGTTCCAGGTCCCTCATCACAAGCCATGGTCTGGGGAAGTCTGACTCCGGGGGACATGCTGCCCAGGTGATGCACAGAGGCTGACCACAGGGGCAACTCTTGCCTCCCTCCTCCTGACCTGGGGGCCCCACCTCATGCTGGCCGACTACCACCTTCGCTTCCACCCTTATCTCCCAGTGTAAAACCACAGCGGTAACAGGTGAGGGGCATGCCCCACCTGCTTCCCCTCAAATCAATCCCAGGTGAAAGAGGCTCCCTCCCCCTCGCTGCTGCAGGACGACGTCTAACAGCAGCAGACGCGCAGCTCCAGCAACTCGAGACTGACGTCTCTGGGCCTGAGGGAAGCTGAACATCAACCACCACACCCCCGAGTCAGGCAGGCCTGCCACCAACAACCGCTGTTAGGCGCGTACCCGCGTCAGCACGGCTCGCAGCACTGGGCCGCAGGCAGGCCAGGAATCCGCAGCAGGCCCCGGGGCCCTCGGAGCAGCCAGCGCCACCCACCCAGGACCCCGGTGGGTTTGCAATCTGCAGTGGGGACCAAAGCTGACACAAGAGCTGCACCACCGAGAAGTTTTCCCAACTGCTATCTCTGCTGCCCCCCTTGAGCTCGGGGAAAACACCACACGTTTCCACAGGCCCCACGAGCTGGCCGGCACCGCGGGGACTCTGCCACACCAGGCTCCTCAGGCGGCCACCTAACGGCCTTTGGAACCCCGATCCCCCAGGTTTCTGGCTCTGCGGTGTGGCCGACCTTGGGGAGGGGCGCCAGGCTGCTCCGCTCTCTGCTCCTCCGCACCCTGCAGAATGCACAAGGGCATGCGGCATGGAGCCCTCAGGCTGCGCGGTTTACGGGCTGTCTGGAGCTCCCCGTGCCACGAGGACTTCCTACGTTTCGAGGACCGACACAGGCGACCCCGACACAATGACGCACAGACGGCGCACGACCGCACACGAGGGGACCTCCGCGCGGTCACGCCCCTCTGCGGACACTCGCTGGGCCGCCTCGTTCCCGCTCTGCTCCGGGACGGGGCTCCGGGAACCCGGGCACGCAGGGGCACTGTCCCGGCGAGCAGAGCGCAGGAACGCGCGCGCGACCCCACCAGACCCCGGGCGCTCGGCACAGGTGGCGGTGCCCGCCGCTAGGCCCCCATCCGGCCCGCGAGCCCGGAGCCCCGCCCACGCCGGCAGGGCCGCCACTCACCGTCGGAGGCAGCCCGGCCTAGGGTGGCCGCTGCCAGCCCGGCCAGCGGGCGCCGCAGCATGAAGGGCCGCCGCCGCCCGCGGGGACATACGTCATTGCGCCGCGCACGCCGTCCTCCGCCCGCAGGCCGCACGACACAGCACCGCGCCACACCACTTCCGCCTGCGGGGCTTACGTCACCGCCGCGCCGGCTGGCTTCCTCCCGCAAGGACGTACGTCAGCGCCGCTCCGATCCCGCCGGCCCCGCCCTTCCCCTGAGGGCATACGCCACGCCGCGCCGGCCTCGCCCCGCCCCTCAGGGCCTACGACAGCGTCGCGCGACGCTGCGCCCACGGATGACGACGCGGCGATGCTACAGGACCACGGGGCGTTGAGTTCGTGGTGACCGTGTGCGCGGCGCCGGCCAGTCTCGCTCCCGCTCGCCCGTGGTGGCCGGGCCGCTGGTCCTCTCGGGCGCTCCGGAGCTCAGTGAGCGTGGTAGGTCGGTGCCGGGAAGGCGCCGTCGCGCGGGCGGCGAGGGCTCCCCCGAGGGAGGGTCGGGCCCCGCCGCCGACCCGGAGGGTGAGAGGGTGGGCCGGCATCCGCGTGGGAGGGACGCAGCGTTTCGTCTTCCGGCCGAGCCGCCTGCTGCGGCGGAGGGAGGCCTGCAGGCGCCCTGCCCCGACAGAGGGGTCCCCGGGCAGGCTTGCCGGTGTCGGCCGGGAGGGCTGGCTTCCCTGGGTGTCAGTGTCCGAGACCTGAGAACCTCCTCCTGTCACCGGGGACAGCGGTACTGACGCTTCCTTCGCAGTCAGCGCCTAGTAAGAGTAGCCTGGGCCTCGGCTCCCCTTGTGTGGTCGTTAGCTGCCTAGATTTCGTGAGAATTGAATGACTTTGTGAACAAAGTAGGAGCCGGTCTCCGCCGTTGGCGGGCGTGTCACCCTTAGAGCGGTTTCCCTGACTCGGTGACCCGCCCCAGTGGGCTCGGGCCTGCCGCAAGTCTCCTGAGTCGGAGTCTGGGGTTAGGGCCTGGGTGTCTGCTGTTCAGAAACCTCCCACAGGTGATTCTAATGCCGTGTCGGGGCTGATAGCCTAACACGTTACTGGGAGGAACCGGCGGTGACGCGGTGACACGCCTGCTGGGGATGTGCTTGGGTGTGTGGCTTTGGTCATGGCTGGGGTTTGATGAGGACCAATTAGATAGAAAGTCTGTGTTTTGAGAAGACGTCTTGTTTTGTTGCCCAGGAGGTCACACACCAGGCCAGTGACTGATCCTGGACGTCCGTGTGCCGCAGGGGCTCTCAGGAGGAATGGCGACCATGGGCAGCCTGCTGGGGTAAGCAGACTTCTGGGCTCTTTGGGGTCGCTGTCATGGGGGCACCCATGGGAATGCTGACTTGGGAGTTTTAGGCTGTGCTGCTTCAGGGAAGCTGCCTGAGTCAGTGTCTGCATTTGGAGAATACAGACAAGTGTGTACGTATAGACGCCGTCACAGGGTGTGGAGGGAAGAACAGAAATGACTTGTACGTAGTGCAAAGACGACGGTGGTGGTGGTGGTCGCCACCTCCTCAGGACCTGCAGCTCAGTGGGCTCTGGATCCCTGGAGAAAGCCACAGCCTTCCTGCTCTTCCCACCATAACTGCCTCCCCATCTGCTCATTCTCCTCACCTCTTGGCTTCCCCAAAATGAGAAGTGCAGTGTGGCCAGGAGAAAGAAGGGGTGCAGACTTCGCCTTGTTTCTGTGGAACCGGGGAGAGGGATGCAGCTCCTAAAGCCACGGTTAGCATGAAGACCGGAAGGGCCTCGTCCTGGGAAAGGTGCACGTGGAACCGCTTTTATGGTGGGAGAGCATCCACCATCTCCCCAGGGACTGGTTTTAGCCCCTTCTGGAAGCCTCCCCAACCCACTGACCCCAGGCTCTCTGGCACTGCTCAGGTGCGGGTTTTTTCTCCCATTTCTGAAGGCAGGGACTGGATTCATTCTGCCAAAATTTATCAGCTAGGGCTCTGGGACTTCAAGCAGTTTTTTGCGCTGAGGCCATCAGAGTCTAGTGGAGGAGATCAGCCCTCAGTCCAAGGTGTGGTTTGGGAAGTGCAGGGGTGGCAGGAACTCCCCCCAAGGCAGGGGCTCTGTGCTCAGGTGGGCTGGCCTGTGGAGGGAGAGGTCCCGAAAGCTGGGTGGGAGCTACTGAGTGACGTGAGCAGCAAGTTTTTAGAATCACCACCCGCAGAGTACAGGAACTCGACTAGAGTGGCAGTGGGGACCAGGCAGGCCATTGGGATGGTCTGGGCTGGACTAGACTGCCCACGTGGTGAGGGGGTGGCGGAGGTGGGGGGGTGGTGTGAGGGGAGGCTTGTGGCAAGTATTCAGGACATCTTCCCACTGTGGGTGTCCAGAAGAACACCGGGAGAACATGGCCACTTCTGGAGTGCCCACCAATTCCAGAAAGTTCTGGCAGTCTTTCAGACGCATTCATTCTCCAACCCGGCCTGTGGCACAGCTTGGGGTGTGAGTCCAATGCATGAAAGCCGGGCTGCAAGGGATTTGGGGGTCACAGGGCAAGGCTGGGACGAGGCTCCAAGTGGGTGAGAGACAGGTGTGGGGTCACACGTCCAGATAGAGCAGTGTGAATGGGGCCTAGCCTTGCCCTTTCCTGTCTCTTTGGAGGACGAGTGTCTGCCACATTCAGAAGCCAAGGGGACTCCAGGTGTCTTGGTCTGCTCAGGCTGTCCCAAGAGAATGCCGCAAACCAGGTGGTTTATTTTCCACAATACTAGAGGCTGGAGATCCCAGCCCAGGGTGCCAGCAGGGTCGGGTTCAGGTGACGGTTGTCTTTCTGGTTCATAGACAGCTGGTTTTTTGTATTTTCACATGTTAGAAAGAACAAGTTCTGGTCTCTCTGTTTTCTTACAGGGGGGCCCCGTACTTATGACCTCATCTAATCCTCATCATCTCCCAAAGCCCCACTCCTGATGGATGCCATCTCATTGGGGCTTACGGCTTTGACATGTGAATTTGGGGGACACAAATGTTCAGCCCATAACACTGGGTCTTTGTTCTCCCAGAAGTCAGCTTCCTTCCCGATGCCTGTATGCAGCACCTGAGCTGCATGGCCAAGCCTCATTAGAGACGGCTGTTGATCTCTGTTCTTAGCCATCTGGGAGCCTTGTGCGCTCACCCCCATGGCCTCTTCCTGGACGTGGTGGAGGACTTGCTCTGACCACATCCTGGCCTGGCCTGGGTTGCCGGTTGCCCCTATAGGAGCTGGCCAGCCTGGGCCACATGGGCACTCTGGTCCCAGCACCAGCCGCTGACCAGCGCGTGTGTGTCTGCAGCCTGCTGCGGCAGTGTGTGGTGATGGGGGCCACCCCCGCGGGCCGCCGCCTGCACATGTCCTCCCGGAGGGCTGACAGCAGCAGAGCCTGGCTCACGCGCGTGCATCGGCAGGCCTATGCACGCCTCTATCCTGTGCTCCTGGTCAAGCAGGACGGCTCCACCATCCACATCCGATACCGGGAGCCTCGACGGATGCTGGTGGTAAGCTTCTCTCCCTAGCGCTCCTTGAGGTGCAGGTCCTAGTGGGCTAGGAACCCCACAGCTGCATGGGGAGGGAGGATGAGCCACGGAGCAGGATTGTTGTGTGAACCAGGATGGGGAGGAGGCGAACCCGGGGCTCACTCCATGCACCGAGATCACACAGCAGCAGGGAGCTGTGGGTTTAAAAAGAACCAAGTCCTGGGAGCATAAGCACCAAAAGGTTCTTAAAGGAGTCAAAGTTCCAGAGGGAGAGAATGCCATAAGCTGCCTAACCCTGACCTGTGCAGTGGAGGAGAACAGGAAGCGTGAGCACATCCCAGTGCCCTCCCTCCCTGCAGATGCCTCTGGACTTGGATGCCCTGTCCCCAGCGGAGAGGCGGGCGAGGTTCCGGAAACAGAAGGCCCAGCTCAGAGAGGAGGAGGAGCAGCCAGAGCTTGCTGATGACTTTGACGTGGAGCGGTACAAGCGGTTTTGGACCAAAAAGTGACCGTGCCTGCAAGCTGCCCAGGCCTGGGACACTGTGGGGGACGTGTCTTTAAATCATGTGTTCATGAAGCCACTTCTGCCTCTCTTTCCTTGTTGTCTGCCCCACCCCCAGCCGTGAGGGGGTTCTCTGCGACTCAGGCAACTAGAATGCTTAGAATTGGGTCAATTTGTGTTTTAGGACGAGGTCCACAGGGCATGTAAGCCATCCACACGGGAGAAATGAGACCGAGGTTATGGGTGCTCCTTCCTGTGTGGGAAGCGCCCACCACCCGAGTTGGCCCCTTGGAGCCTGGAGCCCCCTTGCCCCCAGTGCTGCCCTCAGCCTCGGGGCACGGTGGCTGTGGGAAGTGGGTGGGAGGAGACGGGTACCTGGGATCCAAGGACACCCTGCGAAGCCTGCAGCAGGCCTGCCTGTCCCTCCCTGGGCTACCTCAGCCCTACCTGACACAGCGAGAACAGAGGGGCCAGGGGAAGCGCCCAATCTCTGTGGCTAACTGCCCTTGGTTTGCAGCCCACTGCAGCTGCAGTGAGCCAGGCCTTCCACAGTCCACTAACACTTTTGTGTTCCAGGGGTTGGTTTCACCCTGGCCAGGCTTCCTGCAAGACCCAAGGGGGCAATGCCCGACCTTTGTAAGTGCAGCTGCCCGGGCCCAGGCCTGGGGTTGCTCCTCATCCTGTCCTGGGGCCTCGGGCTCTGGGGTGTTGTGGGACCCTGGCTGTCAGGCTTTTTCTCATAAATCTGAGAGCCCATTGCAGACCACCCCATACGGATGGGGGCCAGCGTTCCAGGCATGACCAGGGAGGCAGGAGCTGGCAGCCTATGGGGGGGTCACTGCATCTGACTGCGGCTGGTGGGGAAAGATGCTGGGCTGAGCACCCACCTCTGGACTCCTGCAGCCCTCACTCGCTGGTCCACTGCGAGCAGCGGCCAGGTGCAGCTGCACCTGTGTCTGTGCCCTCCAGTTGCTGCCCTCTTGCCTGCTCAGGGACGTCTCCCCTGCAGTTCTTGCCTCATTCCCACCTGGAAAGCCTTCTTGGAGCCCCCCCCCCCCCTTTGCTCAGGGTTGGGGCACAGCCATGGGTGCAGGGGCCACTGCGGGCATCTAGCAGTGGGAGAGATGGAGTACAGCAGGGACAGTACGGATTTGTAGCCCAGGGGCAGGGTGGGGTTGGCGATGGGAAATTACTAAGGGGACTCATTTGGATGGGGGGTGGTTCTGGGTAAACCCATGTAAGGGGATTGTTGCTGAAACCAGGCTGGGTGATCATTTGTCCAAGGGGGACGAGGAAGCTGATGAGATACCAAGGGTGAGGATTCTGGGTAAGCTGACAGCAGGGTTCTTGCTGGAAGCCGGGGGAGGCAGAAATGGACCCAGAGCCCAAGGCCTGGTTGGAGGGCTCCGGGGAGCCAGAACAGAGCACTCAAAGAGAATCCCATCTGTGCCAGCTCCTTCTAGGTCGTGGGGGCCTCCTGATGCGACCCCCAGCCCCTCCGAGGCTTCCTCCATCTGCTCTCGTCCCTGGTCACCCCACCCGCTTTAGGGAGTTCAAATGCTGTCTGCGCTGAGGACCCCCAGTGTGCAAATCCCGGCCACTGACGGCACCCTGCTCCTCCCAGCATCTAGTCCTCGTCGAACATCGCAGGGCTGCCTCCCGAGCCTGCCTCGCCCATCCCGGCCGCCATCACGCCGTGCCCCACACCCTCCTGCCACGCCAGGCTCCTTCCTCCCGCTAAGGGACTCGGTGATGAGTCTGCCTGAGCTGGGACCCCGCAGAAGGCACGCCTGTGGCTTTGGACCTGCTGTCCCATGCTGCGGGCCCTTAAGCGGGAGCAGGGGCAAACCTGGAGCACCCACTGTGGACGCCCACCCAGGCGAGGCTGTGCTCTCCGGGCCGCACGTGGAAGCCTTTCCCCACCGAGAGGACTCAGTGGTAGGGCATGACACACGTTGGGAGCCCCAGAGCCCCCAAAATGCAGGCGAGGGAGTCCGAGAAGGCGGGGTCAGAGGAGAGCCGGGCGGACGGCCTGTTCTCACTTCCCTCGCCACTGCCCGGGCAACGCCAAGGCAGCGAGTGTGCGCGTGCTCGGGGCGTGCGGGTGACAGCCGTGCGACACCCTGTCCCGGTCCCTCGGAGACCCTGCCCGGCGTCCCGCGGGCCGCAGCCCTGCCGAGGTTTCCCGGGCCGTTATCGCCGGGACGCGCCGGGTCCTCGGTGACGGCAGCGAGGAACCGGGCGACACCGCCCTTCTTGGCACCGCCCGGGCACCCACATGCTTGACTTCCCACAACAGCCGTCCCGCCGGCGAGGCGCTCGGCTCCCGCTTCCGCATCTCTGCGCGTGGTCCGGGGCCGGGGCGGGGCAGTACGCAGGCGCGCAGGGCTGGCGCGGGCGTGACGTCACGGCGCGCGACGCGGGAGCGGGAACGGGCGCTGCCGGGGGCGGAGAAGCCCGGGGACCGGGAGCCCTGAGGGTGGCGGGCGGCTCCGCACCATGTTCGGCTCCAGCCGGGGCGGCGTGCGCGGCGGGCAGGACCAGTTCAGCTGGGAGGATGTGAAGACCGACAAGCAAAGGGAGAACTACCTGGGTGAGCGAGGCGCGGGGCCGTGGGGGCGGGGACGCGGGGGCTGTGGGCGCCGGGACTCCGGGGTCGTGGGCGCGGGGGCCGTGGGCGCGCGGGTGGGGGGCGCGGGGCCTAGGGGCGCGCCGACCCGCGGGCCGAGTCCTCGGCGCTCCGTCCCGCAGGCAACTCGCTGATGGCCCCGGTGGGCCGCTGGCAGAAGGGCCGCGACCTCACCTGGTACGCCAAGGGCCGGGCGGACGGCGCGGGGCTGAGCCGGGAGCAGGAGCTGGCTGCCGTGAGGCAGGCGGAGCAGGAGGCGCTCATGGCGGCGCTGTGAGTGCGCCCGGGGTGAGGGGGGACCTCGGGCGGGCGGCTAGGGAGGGTGGTTGCGGGGCCATGGGGGGGCGGGGGCCGAGGTGAGGCCCACCGCTCCCTGAAGCTCGCGCGCGGCCCCCGCAGAGGCTACAGGAACGTGAGGAAGCAGCCCACGGGCCTGAGTAAGGAGGTGAGGGTTGGGTCCTCTGGGAGACGGTGCGGGAGGGGGTGGGGCTGACCCCGCGCTGCTTCTAGTCCTGCCGCCCGCGCTCCCTCACTCCCCACAGGACTTTGTCGAGGTCTGTAAGCGGGAAGGAGGTGACCCCGAGGAGAAGGGAGTGGACCGGCTCTTAGGCCTGGGAAGCTCCAGGTGCGGGGCCAGGGGTCCTCTGGGGCCCCAGGAAGCGCAGCGGAGGCCTGTGGGTCTCACCGTTGCGGGTGGCGGGGTGTGTGTGTGTGTTTCACCCTGGGGTCGTTCTCACTTTGGGGGGCGGATGTCTCACTCTGGGTGCATTCTCACCGTGAGGGGGTCTCACCTTGGGGGCGGGTCTCACTCGTGTCCCTGTAGTGGCTCTGCAGGCCGAGTGGCACTGTCCCGAGAAGACAAGGAGGCTGCTAAGCTGGGGCTGTCCGTGTTCACGGTAATCACCCCCAAACACCCGCGATCCCGGAGGGGATCTGGGTCCTTCTTGTTGAGGGTAGGGGGCGGCCTCCCGGCTTCCTGGCTCTGAAAACCGGGGCTGGTTCTCCGCGGTCGGCATCTCAGTGCCTTGCACACCCCCAGAGTGGCTTCCCTCGGCAGCACCACCGCGTGGAGAGCAGTGGGCCAGGGGCCTCCCCGGCCTCGGCCCGGAAGAAACCTCGATCAGAGGAGAAGACGGAGCCGGGGTAAGGACCTCCCTGGGGAACAGAATGCAGGGTTCTCTCTGCACTTGGCTGCCTCTTCTGTCAGTGAGGTACCTAGCTCTGGTCTCTTTTTCCTTCTGGAGAGCCCCTTCGGGTCGGGAGTTGGGAATGGTTCCATGACTGTCCTCCAGCACACAGCAGGGGTCAGGCAGCCACACTGTGTGAGAGCTGCCAGGGCAGCAAGGCAGAGGGCCATGGAGGAGGGCAGCCAGACAGGGGACGTTGTAGTCAGGCCTCATGGGCCCACCACCGCCTCCTGCTGTTCTGTCGGCCGCAGGAGCTGCATGCGGTGCAGGGCGGGGCTCACTGCCTGGCTGGGAGGGTGTGGGCAAGCTCCGTGGGAGGGAGGGCTGGAAGGGGCCGTGAGACCATTGGGTTGGTGCTGCTGGGCAGAACCCTCTGCCATGACGGGATGCCCGTATCTGCACCGCCCATCACGGCAGCCATTGGCGCAGGTCATACTGAGGAGCTTCACATACTGACCTGAGTGACATAAGCACACGTGGTCAGTGGCTGTCCTGAAGACTGACATGAAGCTCTGGGCCCTGCCCCCCCCCGGTGAGCTCCAAAGGCGCAGTGGCTCCCGGCACTCTGTACTCCCCACAGCCCCGAGAGCCACAGAAAGAGGAGGAAAGAGAAGAAGAAGAAGAAAAAGAAGGAAAAGAAGAAGCACAAGAAAGAGAAAAGGAGAAAAGAAGAGCAACGCAGAGCGGAGGCGGCCTCCTCGCCACCCCCAACTCCCACCCGGTAGGCAAAGCTCTGCCTCGGTGGGCGGGCAGGGTGGGGCAGGCGGCCCTCAGACCTGTGGGCGTCACCTCGTCTCCCCAGGCCCCGGCACCGCAGGCATGACTCCGACTCTTCCTCACCGTGCTGCAAGAGGCGGCGACGGCAAGACGGTGACTGAGGCCCAGCGGCTGGGGCCCTGCCCCACCACGCTGCTCTGTGGGCCCTGCCCAGAGGCCCACCCTCAGCGAAGCTTCCCGGCCCAGGAGCTGGAGGGCTGGCATGCAGGGGCCCTGCTGGGAGCTGAGAGGGGCCCAGACCCAGCAGGGGAGGACGTGCCTGCCTGGGAGGTCCAGCTGTCCAAGACCCCTGAGATGCTTAGTTGTAGCTAAACACAGCTACATTTCTATTTTTCTTTCTGTTGACTTACTCTTTGTACTTAAATAAACTTATTTTAAGGAGAAAGCATCTTGTATTTAAGGGAAGGTCATTGTCATGTGTCACAGTAGAAGGCGGTGTGAAAACGTGGAGATTGTCTTGGGTTCCAGTGAGACATCTGATGCCCCCATTGGGAGGGGGAACTGTCCTGGTGGTTGGCATCCCGGACCTCATGTGGGCCTGGCCCTGAAAGTGACTTCAGGCACACTGGGAGCCCTGGGTCATCATGTGTGGCCAGCAGGGAGGTCATAGGAGCCAGAAGGTACCCAGCTGCAGGTGGGCGAGCACGGAGAGAGGAGTGGATGGCTAGGCTGGGCCTTTAGATCATGGTGGGGGGTGGACTTGTACCCGGAACGACCCTTGTCCCCACAAGGCCACCAAGGGACCTCCTGCCCACTGTCCCACAGCTCTGCCATCTGCCTGCTGAATTCATTCTGCTTCTCCCCGGCAGGGCCGGGCGAGCCCCCTCCACCTGGTCTCCTGTTTGTTTGCTCTGCCAGGAGGCATCCGTGTGGTCCCTCACAGTCCTGTCCACACAAGAAATGAAAACTGAATCTTACAGCTGAATTGGAGTAAAAACAAAGCCCAGGCTAGATTCGTTATTACTAAGTATATTCCTTTTTTGCTTCTGATTTTAAAAGAAATGAAAACACAGAAGACATCTCTGTCTTAAGCATCCTGGCACTGGTCTTCAACTTGTTAATGGAGGCAAGTTGCCTTGGGCAGGGCTGGCCTGGGCCTGGGCCAGGGCAGGGGGACGCCTCCTTGGGGAAGGAGAGACCTGAACCTTGGCCCTGCCTGTGATGGCCACGCCACCTAGGAGCAGGGGCACCCAGAAGGGCCCCAGGTCAGAGGGACGGCTTTCAAGGACTGGGAGGGGGCCAAGAGCAGAGGGGGCGCTGTGATCCTGCAATTTGTAAGTAATATGTATTTGTTCATTCAGGCGACCAAAACATGTCTCATCAACATGTGGTCTTTGTCCAGTTTTTGGCTCACAGCTCCCAAAACCCTTGGAATTTCTTGTGTTTGTTAAGGAAGGTGACTGTTGAACCCCATCCAAGGGTGGGGGCTGGTTGCCAGGAGAACCAGTCACGTGATCAGAGAATTGGAACTTTCAGTCCCACCCTGAGTTCTCGGGGCTTGAGGTTTAATCAGTTGTCAATGGCCAATGACTCAGTCAATTATGACTGTAATGAAGCCTCCAGAAAACCCAAAAAGATGGCTACTTGGTCCTCTTTTTCAGAGGGCTTCTAAGTTGGTGAACACATGGAGGTGCTGGCAGAGTGGTGTGCCTGGAGAGGGCATGGAAGCTGGGCGCCCTTTCCCCAGACCTGCCCTATGCGTCTCTTCTATCCAGTTGTTTGTGTATATCTTTTACCATATCCTTTAGTAAACTGGTAGTGTTTCTCAGTTCTGTGAGCTGCTCTAGCAAATTAACTGAACCCAAAGGGGAGTTGTGTGAATCTCCGATTTATAGGCAGTCACTCAGAAGCACAAGAGACAACCTGGACTTGTGACTGGCGTCCTGAGTCGGAGGGTGGTCTTGTGGAACTGAGCCCTTTACTGGTGTGATCTGATTCTATCAAACAGGTGGGTAGTGTCAGAATTGAGTTGCATTCTCAGACACCCTGCTGATGTCCAACAACTGGTTGTTGGTGTGTTGAAGCCCCCCAGCCCCTCCCCACGTATACCGGAATTGAGTCTAGGAACTCTTTGCAGGCGCAAAGCACCCAGCAGGGGACAGGGCCAGCACTGCACTAAAGGCTCCTGAGGCAGTGACATGGAGCTCAGCCACGGGTTCCTGCCCTTTCTGGGCACAGGTGTCTGGGCTGGAGGTGTCACAGCGAGAGGGTGGACACATGGATGTGAGGAAGGGCGGGGGGGCCTCCACACACAAGCCCTGGCCCTGGCCTCCTGGGCACACCTCACGTGGTAACCCTGCTGTCCCTCACAGCCTGGCACCACCAAGATGGGGACCAGAACCAGGGCCTGGACAGCCAATGGGGAGACCAATGGGGGGTCCCCACAAGGGCTCTGGGACACACCTGCCCACAGCCAGGACGGGCCTGGGAGGGGTCCTCCCGCACTGGGGGGGGGGGGGGGCGGGCAGAAAGAGGGAATGGGGCAGGGCATGGATCAGCTGCACTGCCCAAGCCATGACAGCACGACTGTCCCCACCCACGTCACACCCACGTGTCAGGAGGCAGCTGCAGGTCAGTGGCACCAAGCACTGGTGAGCCGTGTAATAGTTAAGAGATTTTATTCTAATTGCTATAATTACAGTGCTTGTTTGTCGAAATGAAAACTGAAAACAAGTATACAAAACAGTTGATTACTAATCGTGTATTGAAAGCAGTAAGAGGTTCCACGACACCAAATCAACCAGTTCTGAGGTTTTCCCCAAGATAAAGTTTAACAGCTCAGCTTCTTCAGTGTTTTATCAAAATACAAAAGAAAAAAGTAGAGGTCGTCGTTTCGGTGGCAGATCTGACCCTTGCAGGCTGAGGGGTGAAAGCACGTGTAGATGGGGGCTCTGAGGGGCTGGGCTCGAGGATGACCGGCTCGCCCACGCTCCTGCTGGAGAGACCCCAGACGGCCCGGAGCGTGCACGGTGACCACAGGGCTCCTGCTCCGGCCAGAGTGCTCCAACCGGAGCGCCCACACTGACCCAAGGGAAGGCCAGGTCCCTCCAACGGGTCCATGTGCGGCGGCCGCAGCGCCCAGCCCGTCCCCTGGGCAGCCATGTAAGCACAAGCACAAACGCTAGGGATGCGGGATGACCCGAGACAGCGAATTGCAGGGGCCCTACTGTGTCCATGCATGTGCATCGTGGCTGGTTCTGCCGGCTCATGTTCCCACGGGGACAGACCAGGGGTGGACTGGACCCGGCTGTTCCTGCAGAACCTCCACCAGGCACGTCTCTCCTCTGTGTGCTCGTGTTCTCCTTGTCTTGTATTTGTAACTATTTTAAAAAATGCACTGAGTTCGGGTTAAAAACCAACCACCAAAATGGATCTCAACACAGATCTAAAGCCCAGAGGAGGAGCGTCGGGCTTGTCTGACACAGCGACTCCTGGAGGCCCCGTGTGCCTAAAATCCCTTCTCAGTACTAAACAGTGGGTTGATTCTCTTTTTACAATAAAAAAAGCTGAGTAATATTGCATAGGAGTACCAGAAACTGCCTCACTGGAAACAAAACTATTTACATTAAATAAAACCCCGGTTGCAGGCTGCGTCTGCACATGTACAGCATGGTGAAGCACACTGTGACCGACCATGGAGACAGCTTCGGGCACTCACACCACATGAGAGTAAAGCGAGGGCAGGAGGAGGGAGTGAGAGGGAGGAGAAAGGAGTGGGCTCACTTCTGGTTCCGCAGCTGATTGGACAGCCAGTCCAGTCCCTCATAGAGCCCGTCCCCACTGGTGGCACAGGTGGCCTGAATGTACCAGTTCCTGTGGCGCAGAGAATGCAGGCCCAGCTTGTCTGTGATCTCGGCCGCATTCATGGCGTTGGGGAGGTCCTGTTGGGAGGGGTGGAGAGCAGTCGTGGGTCAGTGGGAAGCGTGGACCCATCCCCACTCGACCCGTGACGCCCTCAGACCCCGCAGCCCCTCGAGGCCATGTGCCCGATGTGCGCCCACTGCCCGCACACGAGGTGGCTGGGTCACGCGTGGGTGCATGCGTGCGTACCTGCTTGTTAGCGAACACGAGCAGGACGGCGTCCCTGAGCTCGTCCTCCGCCAGCATCCTCATGAGCTCCTCTCGGGCCTCATTCACACGTTCTCGGTCATTGCTGTCCACCACAAAGATGAGGCCTGTGGGGCAGCAGGCATCAGTGCCAGCGCCAGACACCTGCCCTCTCCCACAGGCCACGGCCCACCCTCACCTTGTGTGTTCTGGAAGTAGTGGCGCCACAGAGGCCGGATCTTGTCCTGGCCGCCCACGTCCCACACAGTGAAGCTGATGTTCTTGTACTCCACGGTCTCCACGTTGAAGCCTGCAGGGACACACCCAGAGTGAAGCCCCACCCCAGGGCTGCCCGCCAGCCCCAGCGGCCCAGCCTCTCACCTATGGTGGGGATGGTGGTCACAATCTCCCCCAGCTTCAGTTTATACAGGATGGTGGTCTTCCCCGCAGCATCCAGGCCCACCATGAGAATGCGCATTTCTTTTTTGCCAAAAAGGCCCTTGAAGAGGTTCGCAAAGATATTCCCCATGCTGCAGACAGGTGGGAGCAACACTGGCCAGAGAAACCTGCAGAGACAAGGAGTCCTGGGTCTCTTTCTGTGCTGCCCAGGGCCAGCACCACAGGAGCAACTCAGAGACCACCCTGCCTCCTACTCTCCCACCCACGGACAAACGGATGGCCACGCGCCCTGCCACCTCCTCCTGAAAGTTCACAGGGCAGGAGCTGATGAAATTCCAGTTTCCAAGCAACAGAAAGGGTCCTGCCCGCCTGGCCTCTTGAGCCCCCAAATCACCCGCAGAATGGAGAGTCTGGGAATCTCAGGAACAGGACTGACTGCAATGGAGGCAGCTGCTGCCGCCTCAGGAAGTGATGCCCAAGGCTACACTGCAACTTGCCCCTCGGTCCCACTCACGTTTCCGCTGTGGGGCACAATGTCCAACATTCGGGAAGAAGGGATGTTTACCACCCAATAGCTGTGGCTTTCAAATAAATGCTAGATCCTCTACAGTCTAACAAAGAGCTTTTCAAGGGACCAGAAACAACCACCCTAAGGACCCACCGTGTCTCCCAACTGCCCCCGCCCAAGTCCCGGTGAAACATAGCCCAAGCTCAAGACGATAACGCACGTGAAGCTAGGCGTCCCCCGCCCAGCACAGACCAGAGGCTGACCTCATTAACATGCTGAGAGCCCAGCACTGACCCTGCAGGAAGGACTGCAGATGGAGAACACCTGGGCTCGCAGGCAGCACGCTAGGACATTAAATCCAGAGTGAGACCACAGCAATGGCCCCAGGAGAGCTGTCAGGGGCACTTTCCTGCCAGCTGCGGTCACTGCCACCCCAGAGAGGAGCAGGCCTGCATGGTGTGGCAACATGCTCGCACGAGAACATGCGTGCCATGTCCAGGCTGCACTCTCACCCCAAGCTCCCTCACTCAGAGCAGAAACGCGGAGATCACTGAGCCAGCTGGGACCCAAGGTCAGAGCATGGCTGCAGACCAGCAGGGGGGGACAGGCGACTACGGCCGCGGGAGAGTGGGGCTCGTGGAGGGGTCTCCTGTCCCAGACAGCCCCCAAGGCACTGGAGCTACCCAGGCCCAGCTCCTCCAAGCTGTGCTTTCATTCTTCAACTCTTTTATTTCCAATCAAGGCCTTAGGGAAAAACGGTCACTTTCACAAATGCTCATTGTTAGGAATCTGGATTTTTAGCACCTAAGCTGCCTTCAAACAGAGAAAACTGTGAGTGTTGACAAGAAACTGACCAAGCCACAGAGTGCGTGCTCCAAGCAGGTGGGGCACAAGGTACTTGCACCTGACCATCGGAGAGGGCGTTGGCAGGAGCCGCTGTCCAGGCCAGAAGGAGCCTTGCCCTGCACACCTGCCTGCAGAAGTAACCACAAGCTCTCACCTTTGGACTTTGGACAGACACTGCTGGGATTACAGGCCAGTTCCTGGAGGACTTCGATATGGGCCCGGTGCAGGCACGCCTCACCGCACCCTGCCTGGGGGAGCGCGCCCTAGACCTCCCACCCGGTTGCCTCTGAAGATGGGCTCAGGTGGAGTCGCCAGGTCTCCACGGTAAGTTACTTTCCACCTCAGCCATCAGTGAGCACTGGGTGACTACATCCCGTTGTTCCTCATCAAACTTCCGCCCTCTAGGTTCACCCCGATATTTCCTGGCTGAACTACCACCATGATGACGGTCAAACGGTGATTTTC